CGCCGGGGAGGAGCTAGAGGGTTGTTCCCCGAGCGCCGAACGTGAAAAATTGTCTCTCTCGTTCGCCCTCGGGGTGGAAGGGCTTCGCCGAGGCGTGCGCGCAGGAGCTCGCGCCGAAGACGCGCAGACAACTGGAGGACTGGGGCTCCACGAGCCCGAGGGGCCTCCGCGCCCTCCTCCGCTGCAGCACTGAGCAGCAGGCGCGGGAGAGGCGGCGCGCGGCCGGCGCGGGAAGAGGCCGCGCGCGCGGGACGAGGACGGAGGAGGGGGAGAGGCGAGGAGGCAAAGGGAGGGGCGAGGGAGAGAGAGGGAGAGAAAGAGAGATATATATATATATATATACATATATAGAGAAAGAGAGAGAGAGAGAGAGAGAGAGAGAGCGAGAGAGAGAAATAACGATAAATCTACATATGTATATATATAAGAGAGAGAGAGAGAGAGAGAGAGAGAGAGAGAGAGAGAGCAATCATGAGAAAGAACACAAACAAAAACGCGAGGGAAGGGACGCACCAACGCAACGCCCGACGCGAGAGGCTGCTGCCCGCGAGGGCAGCCCCAAGAAGGGCCCTCGAAGGTAGCCGCTGCACGGGCTACACACACACGCACACAAAAAAAACAGGGAAAGCGGGTGGAACGGCGCCGCGACGAGCAGGCCAAAGGCGAAGACGACGACGAAGGTCAGCTCCATTTCTGACGAACACGAAAACGCAAAAACCGACGGGAAACCTCGCGAGGCTACTGCCCTCGAGGGCAGAGCGAGACAGATAGATATATATACATATATATATACATATATGTAGCGAGAGAGAGAGAGAGAGAGAGAGAAAAAAAAAAGAGAGAGAGAGAGAGAGACACACCAGACAGACAGACAGACAGACAGACAGACAGACAGACAGACAGACAGACAGACAGACAGACAGACAGAGAGAGGGAGGGAGGTGAAGAGAGAGAGAGAGAGAGTTATAGAGATTGAGAGAGAGAGCGATAGCGAAAGAGAGAAAGAGAGAGAGAGAGAGAGACAGAGCGATAGCGAAAGAGAGAACGCGCGAGAAGGAACGCACCACCGCAAAACCCAACGCGTAAGCTGGCGAGGCTGCTGCCCGACAGGGCAACCCCAAAAAGGGATGCCTTCGAAGTCAGCCGCATAACGGGCTCCGCTCGAAAACAAGGATGGCGGAGGCGCTGCGCCGCGACGAGGGCCCCCCGCCGCGGCCCTCAGCTCTCCAATCCGCAACAGGCACCAGTTGTAGGCCGGGCGAGGGCACCAGAACAGGAAGGAAGGGTTTGGACTGCGCGTCGCATGGGAGCACGCGCGTACACATGTAGGTTTCCACGGCGGAGGGAGGGGCGCTGGACGGTCGCGGGAGGCCGTCGATCTCTGCTCTGTGAGAAAACGGCTTGAAGCGACGCCTGCGCCCTAAACACCCCCCCACACACATATATATATATATATATATACACATACATACACACACACACACGTCAGGTTCGTGTCGTGCCGACTTCGGCGTTGATTTCTGACACCGCGGGGATCGTTCAACCTTGAACGATCGGCCATTTCCGAAACGTCCAAATCGTTCCACATCGAACGATAATGTGTCGCCCGCGGCGTTCAAAATTGAACGCCGCCTGCGGGGTCGCCGCCGGTCGACACGACACGAACTTACCGTACAAGACTGCATTGGCACTTCGCGCCATGCTCTTTGGTCCTTGAAGTTTGGCATGCAAGCGGAATGGAAATAAGGTCAAACAAACGAGTTAGCGAGAACTCCTTGTTGCCCCTTCCGGCATCGACGTCGTAAGAATGCTTTTCGTTATCTGTCCTCCATGTTTCCTGTTCCTCCTTCTCGCTCTACCCTGCGAATTCTTCCCCATCCTCCTCAGCTCTTTTTGCGGAGGCTCCTCCTTGGAGCGCCTCTGGGGGCCCCACGGAAGTTCGTCAGGCTTTCTTGAAGCCTTCTGGAGGCCTCCTGGGCGTCTTCTGGGGGCCTCTGGGGGCTTCTTCGGGCTACCCTGCCTCCAACCGCGGTCTCCCTGAACGATCGGGTCACGATTTGGAATGGTTCGGAGGGTGTCTTGGAGCCATCTTGGGCCGTCATGGGGCTCTCCTAGGTCATCTTGGAACCCTGTTGTGCCGTCCTGTGGCTCTCTTGGACTGCGTGGTAGCCCTTTCGGATGATTGGGGCAGATTTTCGAGCCTCCCCGGCGGCCTCGGACGCCCAGAAGACCGAAGAACAGGGCATTCCCAAAATCATGCAAAAACCTCGAGACATCCATGTTTTTCTACGTTTGGAAGCCTCTTGGGGGTCTTCTTTGGGTCGTCTTCGGGCGTCTGGTGGGTGTCTGAACCCTCTTGGGGTCCTCGGGGCGGCGTTCGGCCGCCCTCCTGACCGATTTGGGGCCGTTGCCTAGGCCCAGCAAGGTCTTCCAGGAGCTCTGAAACGCCTGGGGGCCTCCTGCAGGGGCGTCCAGGGGGTCCCCAGGGCCACGGACCTGGGGGACCCAGAGGGTCCAGGGGCCCCAAGATTCGGGGGGTCCGGTTTCGGGGGTGGCGGGGCCTCTGGGATACAAGTATATATGTTTTTTTATTTATGTATTATATATATGTGTGTGTATAGATGTATGTATATATGTAATGAGCAGGGACATGTGCATATATATATATATATATGTACATATGCATATGTAAATATATACACGAAACATATATAGGTGTGTATGTGTGTAAGCATCTGTTGTATACATACATACACACATACATACATACATTTATACATGCATGCATGCAAGCATACATACTACATCAATGCATGCATACATTCATACATTCGTACATACATGCATGCATGCATGCATGTATGCATTAACATACATACACACATACATATATGCATACATACATACATACATGCATACATACATACATACATGCATGCATGCATGCATACATGCATACACATATACATACGCGCATTCATACATACATACACGCATACATGCAAACACACATACACACATACACATATACATTCATGCAAACACCTACATGCCTATCTACCTACCCACGTACATACCTATCCACATGCATACATACGTGCATACCTCGATACAGGCATATATACATACACACATGCACACGTATGTATGTATGTATGTACGTATGTATGCATGCATGTATGTGTATGTACATGCATGCATGTATATATATATATATAGATATATAGATATATCTGCCTGTCGGTCTGTCTGTATGTCTGTCTGGCTGTCTGTATGTATGTATGCGTGTGACGTTGCATGTATGTGTGTATGCATGTATGTAGGTATGTATGTATGAATGTATGTATGAAGGTATGTATGTATGTATGGATGTATGGATGTATGGATGTATGTATGTATGTATGTACAGATACAGCTCAGAGTGCTTTTTGTTGAATACAACAGAAGGAACCGAGCGGGCAAGGAACGATCCTCAAGGGCAAACACAATGAGCCCGCGTGAACCTGCCAAGAGCGCTCCGCGCAGAGTGCACGGAGGCAACCCCGGAACGAACGGGGCGGGGGCGGCCCTCCTGGGGGGAGGCGAGGGAAGGCTCCCGCGCGATGAAACGAATAGACTGCAGCCAGAAGGTTGGCGGCGTGCACACGGGGGTCTGGGGTAGGGGGGGAGGCTTCTTAGAAGGAGGCTGCTTCTCAGAAGGCGCCAGCCCTACATCCGTAGAGAAGGCCCGCGCCTTCTGAGAAGCAGGGGTGCTTCTAAGAAGCCCTCCCCCCTCCCCGTACCCCCCCTCCGCGCGTGGCTGAGAAGGAGCTGCGGTCGGGAACGTTTGGATAGAGTGTCGCGGCGGCGGCCCCAGCAACACGCTATGCCTTGCAAGCGGGCCGACTGTCGCTCCACTCCGATGGGCGGGAGGATGGAAAAGGCTCGGGCCGTTGAAGCCTGGGGACAAGGAAGTGGATAGCGTGTCACACCGAAGCGTGGTGGGCCAGAACGGCAGGCGCGACACGCTATCCAAACGTTCCCTACAATACAGTGCAGCAGATCCTCGTCGGCCCGATTCTGTAAAGCAGGGTGTCGGTCTCTGCCAGCATGGGGGGGTCGTGCTGCATAGCGACGTCTGCGTTCACCGAGCAGGCCGGGGCGCAGGTGGAGGTGTGCTCTATCTGCCTATCTGCACTCGGCGACCTTGTCCTCTCCGACGCTGCGCGTTCCATGCGCAGCTCTCCCCGAGGGCACGGCCGTTCCTTCACGAAAGCCTGGCCAGGAGCGGAGACAGCAACACCTGCCTCGATTGCAACGGGAGGCGGGAGCTGCCCGTCAGCGGAGCCGACGACCTGCATTAACGACGTGGTCCCATTTTCAGGGGAAGCCTCTGGCATCGCGGGTAGCCGAGTGGAAAAAGCCTGCGGCGGTAACGGCGGCTGAGCAGCATGCTGACCAGCGCAGCCTGGCTGATCCCCACCCAGAGGGTGAGGGCGGCCAAGAGCACTGCGGTGACTGTCGACTTGCAGATGCTGAGCGGGCCCCAAGCGCATAAGGCCGCAAACTTGCGCCGAGTTGCGGACGTCGGCCGTGTGTGGGCGGCGTCCGACGCGGGTCGCATGTAGCCGAGCCTCCGCCCTGATGCGATGAGGCGTGGCTTCGACTGACAGCGGAAATGGCCATGCGGGACGGGCAAATCTCGATGCTCGCGGCCACCAGCGCCTGCCAGGAGACGGCCCGGATCCCCACTGCAGATTGCGATGTTCCAAAAGGGGGGCTGCGGTACTCTCCTTTTGCGCAAAGGTGCGGGAGGATGAAGAGGTTGAGAAGGAAGGGGCTGAAGATAATAAGGATGAGCTTGAGAATGGGGCGCAGGAGCGGGATGTAGGGATGGGAATGATGAGGGAAAGGAAAAACTAGAACGAGAAGGAGGATGAGGACGATGAGAAAGAATGATGACGAGGAGTCGGAGGTGCGACTCTATGTACTTTCGTCCCGCCCTGTGTGTCCGCGCCAGCCTCAAGAGTGCCCTCGTTGAGTTGCTTCGAGCAGTGAACGCAATAGAACTGCCCAGTCACCTGGTCGGGGCGGGGAAGGAAGCAGGAAGTGATGCGGGTGAGGAAGGGGGAAGAAGGAACGGAGGCAAAGGAGGTGGCAGGGAAAGGGTTAGAGATAGAAGAGCAGGATGTTGCTAGAATGAGGGTACCTCACGAAAGCGCCAAGAAGAGGCAGAGTTATGCAAGACAGCAGTTTGCATTAACATGCGCGTTGCTTTCCCCTGAAGGCCAGACGAGGTATACGACGTGCGCCCGAACCCCAGACGGGGGCCGCTGAACACCGCAGGCAGCCAGTTGTGTGATCTCTGGGCCCAGCGCCACATAAACGCACGGGCCCAACATTTCGCCTGCACGGCATTCGGTGCAGGGCTGGCTGGAGCTGAAGCTGAAGCGGAAGCTGAAGGGGCTGAAAGCTCAAGAGAAAAAACACAGGCGGGCAACTTTGGGCGGCGCCCCAGGGCAGGGCCACCGCGGCCCCCGCCCGCCCAGGGGGGCCGGGGGGGAAGGGCCAGAGACTCAGAGCCCCCACAAGGCCACGAACCTGGGGGCGGAAAGGGCGCGACAGCGCGGACGGCCAATCGCGCGGCGATCACCTCGCCAAACACAAACTCGCCAAGGCCGAAGGACCTCGACAGGGCAAGCTGCAAAAACGCCCTTACGGGTTTGCGCCGTAGCACCCCCCGGGGCCCATGGGGAAGCCCACGTCTCTCTAGACAAAATTGCCCTTGAGGGTTTGCGCCGAAGCACTCCCCAGGGCCTATGGGGGAAGCCCACATCACACACGCCCACCTCCGACGCCGTTTTGCAATGGCCAAGCAAAAACAATGCTGAAAGCCGAGGCGGGCAGCAAGCGAAAGAGACGGCCCCGTACTGACGGTCACACCCCGCCGCGCGCTCTCCGCCCCTACGAGGGCTCAGGGGGGCCCACGAGGCGCCTTCGCTTGCGCTCCTCGGCCATCGCCCCAACCTCTCTCGCCCAGTCGTCGAGGCCGTACGCCTGCATGGCCTCGGGGCGGCTGATCGCCACAACTCCCGATCCACTGGACGCCGCAGCTGCGCCGGCTGGTCGTCCGTGAGCGGCTCCGCGCGGAATGCCTCGTACGTGGTCGGCATCAGCCAGCAGGCCACCCGCTGGTGACGAGCTCGACATGCAGGAGGTGGCTGTCCCTCCCCCGTCCCTCTCGCGGCCAGCCCCCCTCGGGGCGGCCTGAAGGGAGCTTTCAGGCACCTCTTCCTCGCCGTCAGGCGCAGCGGGCGCCGCCTCCTCGGGCGGCGCGCCGAATTTGGCCAGGATGTCGCCGCGCAGCTCGCTGGTGAGGCCCAGCTGGCGCAGGCGCCTGATGGCCTTCATCTTGCCTCGACGCCGACCAGGGTGCTGCCCGCGCTCCCAGAAGGTGAGCTGGTCGCGCCCGCCCTTTCCCCTGGGCCCCTTGGGAGGGCACCCTGTGCACTTGGCGTGCAGCTTGGGCCCTCTGCCTCCGTCGATGTCCGCGTAGGCGCCGCGGCCGCTGCAACTGACCGGGCGCCCTGCGGTGCCATCGTCCGCGCCGTCTGCCAGCGCATAGCGCAAGCAGTGGCCCAGCACGGCGAGGGGCCCTGCTCCGAGGCCGAGGGCCGACGGCGCAAATGCCATGGAGCGGCCCCGCTTGGGCGCTGTCCCTGCGGCTGCCGCCTCGGCGGGGGGTCCGTAGGGGCCGTCCTCGAACCTGCGCGTCGCGGAAGCTGCCCTGCTGCATCAAGATGAACGCCTGCGCGACCCCGCGCGCCAGCTCCGCGACGACCAGCGCGAAGGCCTCGAAGTGCACCGGCACCTCCTGCGGGATAGCGTGGAGCGACGCGCCGAGCTTGGCGTAGATGTCCACGGACCTGTTGCCTCGCCACTCCTGCTCCGAGGCGCGGCCCTCCTGCGCCTGTGCCCATGTCAGGTGGGCTGGCACCTTGCGGGCGTTGTAGTCCTCGGGCCCGAAGGCTACGAAGAACCTGTCCCAGAGCTGCGCGCCAGGCCGGCCTATGCCTGCGGCGCACTGGCGCCCGCGCCTCAGGCAGGAGAGGGTGGAGGCGCAGTCCGCGTGCAGGACGTGGCGTCCTAGCCCAGCAACCTCGGTGTGGGGCTGGCTGAGCTGGGGGGAGGCACCCCTCTGCCACGAGGGGTCTGGGGGGGCCATCGTCGGCGTCGCCTCACAAGCAAAACCAGCGCTCAAAGGGGCTTGCCGCGTCGGCCTTCGGACGATCTCAGTCGCGCCGTCGGGCCCGGCGTCAGAGAGGGCTCCATGGCGGCAAGCTGTCACGCGAAGCCTCGTCTCGAAATGAAAGGCGGGCGCGCCAGGTATCGCCAGCCTTCGAGCGTTGTTTGCAGCCAGGAATGCATCGCAGCACGCTGAACGCAAAAGTGTGGTTTCTAGAACGTCACGGAGGAAGGGGGGGAGATGCAGAACCGAGAAGGTTTCTCAGCAGGTCCTGGGTAGCTGGAAATACGACGAACCAACCACTCCTAGAACGGATCTTTGAGCTTGGGCATGTCGAGTAGTGGTCAGCTGAATCCAAGCCAGCATCGGCGGAGAGGCGCTGGCAACCGAAGAAACAACTAACGGGCCCAATGTGAAACCTACAAAAAAAGAAACGAAACCGTGAGAAGACGGAACGAAGCAATTGCGATGTACATGGATATGGGTGTGGCCGCTCCCTTGCTCATCCTACTGAATGTCGCGATGCGACCAGGGCCGGCCTCAATAACGAAATAGTGGCCTCGAAGAAGCAAGATGCGGTGAACGCGTTTGGTCAGGGTATTCTTTCCGGATAGTAGCGCACAGCTCGGATTGCAATAACGTGCTGTCCGTGCCAAGACCAGGGGGAATCTGAAGTACCATTCACGAAGAGGACGGCCGCTCGGCAGGAAAGACTGCTGGTGCTACCCACGGGGCCACCGATAATATAAATGTTCGGTACTGACGCGTTCTAAGTCAAATGCCTCCAGGGCGGCAGGGGCCACGGGACACCTGGAGGCGTGTCTGAGACAAGCGGCGTTCGCAACGGCGCTGGAATCTATGAGCTCCGCGCCGAAACCGAGAACCTTGAACCGCGTGGACAGACTGCGTGATATCGCGTGACGCGGGCCAACCATTGGGGAATGACACACATTCCCTGATGTACTTGCAGAAGTCACTGTTCACTGCTGAAGAATGGCCACGTATACAACCGGAAGAGTAACAATGACACGCACATACAGCACTGAATGCAACAAATACTGGGGCCAACCCAAGCCCGAGCTGCTGCGTCCCACTCGCAAATTCAACTCAGGGAAAATATCTTGCCACGCATGACGGCAAGCAGTAGGCCCAATGAGAATCCCAACGTGAAGTGCCCACGCGACAACGAGGAACGCGGCGGCGAGGCCCCCGAGAGAGGCTAAGCGTCCCGAATAATTGTGTGATCCATGACACCAGAAACCAAGGTCTTCTACTCTTGTAAGTTGAAGCAGAAATTCGCAACCTGTTTAATAAAACACATCAGGGAGGCCAAGAGGGACCCACCGCTTTAGGTGCGTTAGCAACACCGAGCGAAAAGCCGTCCGCGCATGCCAATTTGATGCCGATGTGAGGGGCACACCGTTGGTGAAACCATCGGGTACGAGGATCAGTGGCAAGCGCACGCAGCAGCATGAACGCGTGGCAAACACCAATGTGGCCAAGCCTTTGGCCGACCATTGCAATCCCATGTTCCCAGACCACATCACCTCAAACAAATGAACAACAGACGGCGCCAGAGCCATGCAAGCCAGGGCATGAAACAGCGAGGAAGTGGATAGAGAAGGGATCGCGGGCGAGATTTCGGCGAAGAAGAAAGACAGACATGCTTTGCCCTTTCATGCGCCGGGTAACTGTCCATGCCTCTGCGTTGACCATCTGCGAGAGCCGGTCGCGCCCACTCGCACAAACTCATTCCAGCCCGATGATCGACGACGTGTTGTAGGTGAGCGGGGCGTCGATAGCGTTGGCTCGGAGCTTCGTGTCTGTGCTGCTCATGCTGATGGGGGCAGGTTGAGGAAGGATGCGCGATAAAGTCCGAGCTGCCTGGCATATCCTTGAGGCGCGTGCCCCTGGCAAAAATATCAGGGAAATTTCGACGAATGTCGGCAGGCAAGCTGTGGACCTAGTCCGTGACCAGTGTGGATCCGAGCTGAGACTGCAATCTTGCACACACCGTAGGGAATACCACCAGGGCCAGGCAACATATGGTGACGCTCCAACATGAGTTAAAACAAGATGCCGTTTTGGAGCTTCCACTCGACATCCCTGGGGCCCTCAAGAACCTTGACGAAAGAGTTTCCCTCGTTCCAGATGCTAGGGTCGACAGGGGGGGCCTTGGAGATACCCTTCCATTCGAACTGGAGGGTTCCATCAGAGGTCTCCGCGGGGCAACAGAAGGGGCGGCTGTCGGGGTACCTCTTCTTGACTTCATGCCAGCAACGAAGACGAGCAGTCGTGGACTTCCTGTGGTCCTCATCCACCTCAGATTTGCGAGTGATGTTTTCCTCATCCTTCATCACGTTGTAGTCTATAATCTGAATGCGCTGGCGAACTCTACTCGATGAATGAATGCATCAAGGAAGGTCAGGGTGAGAGGGTCGCCTCAGCTGAACCGGATCGGTGACTTCTATGTTCGCTGCGTGCTGCGCGATGCCAAGTTCGAAAAGGGATTCGCGAATTAACTCAGTGGAAAGTGCGCCAAGGTCACCAACTGAGGCGTTGACCGTCGGAGCAAAATCGCGGGGGCCTCTCATGATGTAAACGCAGCCTCCAAGCCCCGAGCAACCAAACCTCAAAACTTCCTAGCTTCAAGAATTCCGCGAGGTGGCTCCTGGCCCTTCCTCGGAAAAAGGAAGGCCCGTAATCGTGAGTGTCAAGATCATGAGGGGCCTCACGATGAGGGGCACGTTAGGGCGAAGGGGGTCGGGATGGCTCCAAGGGCGCATCATGGCGGCAATAGCTGTCCAAACAAGAAGACGCCTCACGCGCCGTCTCGACATGAAGCGTGGCTTTTCTGTCAACGTCGAAAGTTCGGGCAATAATCGTACCTACACTTCGTGTCTACACAAACGCTAGTCGACAAGCATCACTGGTCACGCGGGGGATCCTCACCCAAACATCTGCCCAGGATAATCAGGAGCGCGAGCTTGCGCGTCTGGTCCTGTGCCTGCTGCCATTTCGATACCGAAGAGCCCGAGTAAATAGCCGCAGAACGTGGTGCTGTGGGTGTTGGACATATGCAGCATTGGCAAATCTCTGTGGTCGCCTGGCGCTGGATGATATACCTTGGATGGGCTTCTCGATGTCAACCACTTTGGATTGCAATGCCGTGCCCGCCTCCTCCAACCTAGCGTCGTCATCGACAGCATGCTGCGTGACCTGAAACTGCATGGCGGCGATACGGTCGTCCATATCCATGAGCGAAGTGGCACATGAACTCTGAAGCTCCTGTTGCCTCGTGTAGCACGATCGGCTCACCCTCGACATCCAATCAGCAAGAAGACCACAGCGCTCCATAGCCGACGTGAACGAGTCTGTCTTAACAGCGAGATCACAGTGCTGGTTCGTTACGGCCTGCGACAGTGTCTCGATGTTGCCGATGGGCGAGCCAAACTTGGACTCCGTCGCCAAACTCGATGTGTGGTGAACGGAGATAGCGCGGACGAGGCTGGGATTGACTGGGAGACATCGAACAGGACCGACTGAAAGAAGGGGATGAGGAGCGATGTCGCTGCAGGTGTCTGCTATGGCTGCGCCCCCGCGATCCTCCCATTGGGAAGCGAACGGCACGCTGACTTTTGTGCCCATCGTCTGCAGTGTTAAAGTGCGTGACAAAGCGATGCGAGCTGCAACGGAGCGTGGTTTGGCGCACAGCAACTCGGAGGCCCTGTACCTCGAAATGATCGGTAGACCCATGGGCACCCACGGCACAGTTTTTGAATTCAAACCAAAATGGCGAAGGGATTGTCATTAACATGCGCTCTGAAACGTGAAGCTATGTGTAAACACGCTGTAGCACGCCATCATGATATCCGCAAGTCTCCTCCGGAGACGCCATGTTGTGAATGCCCTTGCGGAATTGCTTTCTTGCTGAGGTGCCTCGTCTTCTCTCTCTTGCTGTTGATCTCTCTCTCTCTCTCTCTCTCTCTCTCCCAGCATATCCCTCTCTCTCTCTCTTTCTCTCTCTCTCTCGTTGAATGTGCATGTTTAGACAAATTGTAACCGAGTGTGTCCTTGGCTCCTGCCATACTTACCATGCGAGTTGGCATCTGCCCTGGGGCCAGGAGCCCGCCGGCGAAGACCTTTTCTAGATGGGGCTGCGCGGCGACACCACAACAGGGGCGCTGCGACGCGTCGCTGCGACGAGTCTGCGCCAAGCTGCGGCCACACGCTGTGGACATCACTGTGCCACCTTTCGTGCGGCTGCGGCCAACGCCTCCACTGACAGCCTTCGGAATATGGGGCAGGGGAAGCCATGGGCCTCCAGCCATCCCAGCTCCGCGACTTGCGGGTGAGTGCGGTGGCCAGCACGGGCCGCTAACCCCGAGGAGCCACCGTGTGGCTCCGCCTTCACTTGCGCGGCACTGGCAGCCGCGCGGAGCCGCTCGTGCTGAGCACAGCGCGGGCGCTCCAGCACTTTTGCGAGGCTGTCTGGTCCACCACAGTGGCCGCGGGGGTCTTCCAGGTGACGTGGGAGCTTAGGCAGCCGAAGCACGGGACCTCCAAATGCCCCTGAAGGGTGGCGTGCTCCCCAGTGGACGTCTTGGTCCCCACATTGGCACGCCTAGGCTGAAACATGGTCAACGGCGCAATCGTCCGCGCCGACAGGGCGGAACAAAACGACCTCCATCGCACGTCACCGCAACAACTCAGATCACTACAAGAGGCTGCTGCTATCCGGGTTTCTGATATAGTGGCCCTCTGCGAGGTCGGACTGGGTCTTTCGGCACAGGCGGACTTGGTCCTCCTGGCGCGCTTCTGGTGTGCTGGAGCTTTCTTCGACCCCTCCTCCCGTCAACACGCAACCACTCTGGACAGCTCGACAACAACGGGCCCTGAGGGCTGGCATCTGCAATGCTATCTGAAGCCAGGCCTGGTTGCTTGGCTGCGGCCTCGTGCATGATTGCCGTTGCATGCCTTGCCGACGCAGCCCCTAGACACATATAGTGGCTGTTTGGAGTGCACGCCGGCAAGCACTGTCGTTAGGGATAGTGTCCCTCCCTCTCCATAACGTGGTGACCTTCGGTAATGCAATCTTGCCTTGTCTGCCCCCCCCCCCCCTGGGGGGCCCGACAAGCGTCCGTTGAGATTCCCGGAGGCCTCCAGACGCCACTCGGAACCGCCGAAAAGAACACTTGATGCTCTCGGTCCGCGTTCCCTACTCGACTAAACGGAATCAAAGGACATATGCTAGCCAGCGTGGACCCCAATCAGTGTGCTATTGCACGGTGAATGTGGAAGTCGTGTGGTGCAACCCTGTGGTGTACAGTCTGTTGTGTAGACTCTGTGGTGCAAGCTCCGTGGTGCAAGCGCTGTGGTGCAAGCCATGCGGGGCAAGCTGTGCGGCGCAAGCTATGTAGTGCAATCTACATGGTGCAGGCTACGCGGTGCCGGCTGCGTGGTGCAGCCTGTGGTGCAGTCTCTGCCGTGCAAGCCACGAGCCACAAGCAGTGCGGTGCACGTCGGGCTGTGCAGTCTGCGCTGTGCGAGCGACCGGGACGCCCACGAGGCGCTCCGCGGGCGGGCACCACGCGAGACCTCGGCGTACCTCCCCACCTAGCGTTAGGTCGAGGGTGTCCCTCTACAGGCGGATTTCAAGCGAAAAAAAAACATTAGTCAAAACATAAACAAAAAATGCTCAAAAATGATCAGAAGACAATCCTCACAATATTTTTGGACTATTTTTGAAGATTCCCCCCGTGGAGGGACACACCCGACTGAACCCTAGCGCGCGGCGCCCACGCCCGCGCCCTCGCCCCCGAATTCCCTTGCCAGTGGGGCGCAGCAGTCAGAGAGCTTGAGATTAGCTGGAGCTGCCTGTCAGCCGACTGTCGAGGCCAAAGACATACCCCCCCGCCACACCAGGAGAAAGGATTCTGGCGAAGTGCCCCTACATATGCCTGTGTGAATGCCGCAAGGCCATCTGGTACGATTGCTTTGGCAGTGCTGCGCCGGGCTGTTTCTTCTTGCCCCTTGCGGGCGGGCCACGTGCGAGCCTCGGCACGACCCTTCGGCGCGGGGTGCCCAATTGAGAGCGCCCTCGAGGCACCCCCGCGGGCGGGCACCGGACGACGCCTCGGCATCCCGCCCTCCCCCGCGCGGGGCGCCCCCCGGGGGCACCAGGCGAGACCTCGGCACACCCTCCAAGCGCGGGGCACCCGGGAGGCGCCCACGGGCGGACACCAGCCAGAAGCCCATAGTACCAAGCCAGCCACAAAAAAACCGATGCCAGCACTGTTTGGGGCAACCTGTCGACCAAGGATGTTGCGCGACCTTTGCGCAATCCCATCACGACGCTGTACCACCATAGATTGGGCACCCTGCGCAAGACATCGTATGGGTCGGGCGGCGTCACCCAAAAGAGCGTGCTGGATAGTCGAACGCACAGACAACACACATGCCGAGGCAATGTCTGGTGCAAATGCCTGCTGGGGCTACCACCCTGAAAGCTTCGCGACGGATCCCGAGCCTTCCACAGGGCCCCAGAGGCCCACAAATCTGCACTGCGAGACGCGGTGGGGCCTCCCCTTGCGTCTCCTGGACCTTCCGCTTCATTCGTCGGTGGCGCGCCTGGGGGGAAGGAAGAGGGGACAGGCCTTCTCAAAGGCGGCGGGGCTTCTCAGAAACCATCTGGCCTGCTGAGAAACCGCCTCTGTATGCAACATCGCGAAAAAACATAATCGGAGCCCTAGACCTTACCTTTTCTGCCACATTTTTCGAACTGGATCGATCTGGGAGGGCCCGGGGACCCAAAACCGGCCGACAGCGCCAAGCGCGAAAAAAGTGCAACTCCCAGATCGGAAGGCCTGGACAACTTCTCAGAAAGGCCAGAAGCCTTCCGAGCATTCAGGCAAGGTCCGCCCCCTCTGCGTTCCTCCCCCAGGGCTCGCCGCCGAACTCGAGGAGGTAAGGCCAGGCTGTGCAGGGATGGGGGCGCCGCGAGAAGCGGAGCCTCCTTCCAGGTGTTGTCCGGGAGCTGCGCCCACCAGGTCTCCCCCCCGTCCTCGAATCGCGGGAGGGGAGGGGGAGTGGTGGTGGCGACCGCCGTGAGGAGGGGAGGGGAAGTGGTGGGGGCGACCGTCGCCAAGTCAACCCCACCCCTCCACTCTCAGTCTCTCTGTCTCTCTCTCTCTCTCTCTCTCTCTTTCTCTTTTTGCAAAATCATCTGCGTGGGCAGGGGCCTCCTCCCGTTTGGTTAGCGTCCCTTGGATGCGGCTGTTCCGAAATGACTTTCGGCCCGTAGTGCTTCGGCCATCGCTTGAGCAGCAGACCGATCTCAGACTTCTCGAGCCTCTAGACTAATGCTGTCGATGCTACCAGCCTCCTGAACACGATGACGGCCAGGACGATGGTGCACCATGACGGACTAAGCACGTATGCGACGCCAGCGATATTAGAGGGCAACACATCCCCCCCAGAATAATCGCCCCGTCAAGCGAAGCCGTTTCGTAAGCGCACCCACGGAAGGAATCGGACAGGCCAGAACTGTTTCGTAGACGCCCAGAGCCGTCTAGTAAACGCAAATTGTCGGGTCCTGGTGGTTTTTGCTGCCTTGACATGTCCGCCACAATGCCGTAAGAACGCTGGGGCGTGCAATGATGTGCCTGGTTGTCCGGTAAGGTTTCTCTGGTACCTCTGGGGCCGACCCTCCCTCCTCGTCGCGCATGGGGGGAGAGCAGACCGCCACCTCCGAATCTGCTCTGCGGCGCCCTGCTCGGCTTCCCCACGGCTCCGTGGCAAAGAAACATCCGCCTGCCCTGTCAGTTTCGCTCGTGCCTGGAGTGTCGATGACAAAACGTCCGACGAGGCCTAGAGGAGCGCTCGAGAGTGGTCTACAAGGGCCTGAGCAGCCCTGCGGGTAGTAGAGTGGAAGCGGTCTCTGGCAGCCTCGGAATCGAGAGGGCCAGGGTCAGGAGACGTGCGACCCTGTCGGTGTGTGTGTGTGGGTGGGTGAAAGGCTTTTCAATTTGAGTCGTCGTCGTCGACGTCGTCGGCGCTACCCCCGTTGACGCTTACCCGTTTGAGTCGTCGTCGTCCTCGCCGTCGTTCTCCTCCCCCTTTCCCTGGGCCCTCCTCCTCAAGCGTTCCAGCCAGGGGAAGCTCCTTCCCTCTATCCTTTCCCCGCGGAGGGAGGGTTCCAGGGGGGGGTCTTGGGGTTTGCGACCTCCCCCTCGGGAAGGAGCACCCCTCCCTGGAAGAGGCTTTCCTCTTCGATGTCTTGCCTCACAGGCGCCTCGAGCTCACTTGTACCGCGACGTGCTCCAATATGGCCTTGTAACGAAAAATGATCGCTCCAAGACGGCCCAGGATACCCTCTAGACGGCCTCAGGAACCTTTTAGACGCCCCAAGGAGGCTCCAAGAGGACCCCCAAGAGGGCCCCGAGATGCTAGATTCACGGATCGTGTTTTGTTGTTCTATGGTTTTCGCGTCCTCGCCTTCTTGTCGTCGTCGTCGTCGTCGTCGTCCCCCTTCAGGGGCGGCGGCACTGGCCACAAGGCTGCAAGAAGTCCCACGGTCCTCAAGAAGTCCCAAGGTCATCCAAATCACAACCAAAGAGCTCTGCAGGGTTCCAAGAGGTCCCAAGATGTTCCAAGAAGCCTCCAGCGAGACACTCCAAGAGACCTCCAGCGAGGACCTACGGGGCGAAACACGTTGAATAAAGCACTGGAAAACAACGCGTTCTGCTCCCGAGGCCTTTCGGCATGAGATCGCCTCGGTGAAGCTCCAGCGAGCAAACGAAGCTGCAAAGACGACCACAACTACTCCTACAGAGCCCCCTATATGCTTACAATATAGCTCGGGAGCCCTTCAGGACGGCCCAAGAGTGCCCAAGACGGCACCAAGGGGACGAGGTCGAGGGGGCGAGGTCTAATGTAAGACCCACGCGAGGTCAGACCGCGCGCTGAACTGGTGCGGGTCGCAAGCTCAACCGAAGACCATCCGAGGACGGCCCCCCGAACCCCCAACGACCACAAGATCTTCCCAAGATGCCCCAATCGGCCTGCAAGAAACGCCCGAAGAAACATCCAACGAAACGCTCAAACTGGAAAACATTGAGCACAACACGGCAACTAGAAGCCCCCGAGTCTAACCAAAACTACCCCCACATAGCCCTCCCATGGCCCAACGACAGCCCGCAAGACGGCTCCCAGACGGCTCCAGCGGCCGAGAAGGTGAAATCCAATATGAGACCCACTTGGGTTCAGACCGCACGCGGAACTGGCGTGGGTCGCAAACTGTCCCTCAGACCGTCCAGAGATTGCCAACAGGCCCCCAACGACTACAAGATCTCTTTGGGAAGCCTCAAGATATCTCCAAGAGACGCCCGAAGACACATCCAACGAAACAGCCAAACTAGAAAACGATGAACAATAGAAAGAAATAGAATGTGTTCTGCTCCCGAGGGTGTTCGGTTACAGATCGCCTCGGGAGAGCTTCAGAGAGCCCAAAGAAGCCCCCGAGACGGCACAAAAGTACCCCTACAGAGCCCCCCCGATGGCCCAAAGACAGCCCGCATGACGTTCCAAGAGAGCTCCCAAACGACTCCAAAAGCCAAGAAGGCGAGGTCGAGTATGAAACCACTTGAGTTCCGACCGCGCGCTGAACTGGCGTGGGTCGCAAGCTAATCCTCAGACCGTCCAGATATGGTCCAACGACCCCCCAGCGACTACAAGATCTCTCCGAGAAGCCTCAAGCAGTCTTCAAAAGACACCCGAAGCCACAACCAACGAAACGATCAACATAGAAAACGATGAACAACATACAGAAAAATAATGTGCTCTGCTCCCGAGGCCGTTCGGCTACAGATTGAGTCGGGAGATCTTCACAGAGCTCGAAGAAGCCTCCGGGAAGGCCCGAAACTACCCCTACAGAGCCCTCCGATTGTCTTCAAGACGGCTACAGAGCGGCTCCAGGACCGCGTGCTGAACTGGCGGGGGAATTCACATCAAACACCTTCACGCTGCGCTGGTGTGCTGGCACGGTGGGGCTTGCCGCAAACACATAGATCTCTGCAACCCGTGACATGGAAATCAACTGAGATCTGACATGCCCGCCCTGGCCTGGCCCCTGGTTTCCACATTTTGAATTCCAAGTGGGTTCTCCACTGGACCCATGCACGCCTGGCGAGAGCCACGGGTACGCTCATGGAAACGCAGAGGAGGTTCTCATGCACCATGCTGATACGTCTTCACGAACTCTGTTTGCAGACGTGCCCGTATTCGCCACCTTGCCTCTGACACGTGGTGAAATACGATTAGGCCCGTCATCCTCCTGAGCTGCAAAGTGTTCCGTTGTTCCCCTTCACCAGGAAGCCCCATGCCAAGCATATACAGCTCACGTTGCAGGGCGGTCAGGACTAGCCCCGAGCTGTTCAACTTTCTGATCAGGCGTCCACCAAGTCCTCACTAACGAAGAGACCCCGGCAGCTGGAGGACAATATTATCAACCAGAGAGGTCAGGACAGAGGGCCCTCCTCGGCCTCGACCACGCCCTCCTTGAGCGCGCGGACCTTCACTCGAGGAAGAAGCGGCACCATGAGTAGTGGCAAATTAAAACAAACTCTCATACTGTACCACGCCAATGTTTATGCGCACGAACCTTGCCAGCCAGGCGCACTTGTTCCAGACTTGCCTTCCCTGGTGTCATTAACAGCTGATTGATGGCAACGGGTACCCTCTAAAACATTAGATCAAGAATGGCATACTGATATGAATACCAACGAACATAATTCCTTACACGACAGCTGGTGGTCGCTAAAGTTTGAAAACGCACCTCCCGACCCGCCCACCCCGCATACTACGGCCGCAAGATCCCCAGGTCCACCGAGAATCCCCGAGACTCCTGTCCCTCCAGACCCAACCCTACCACTTTGTCTACCGCGGCCGCAAGATCCCCAGGTCCACCGAGTCCCCGAAACTCCAGCCCCTCAGGACCCTACACGACCACTCTGCATACCGCGGCCGCCAAATCCCTAGGTCCACCGAGAATCCCCGAGACTCCCGCCACTGCGAGCATGCCAGAACACACATAGCACCACATAATATAATGCACCACAACATGACAGAGCACAGCAGACTTCGCTGGCCCAACGGGCCAGATGTGTGCTAAGATCTCCAGGAACAAGGAACTCTATATAACTTTCCAATTCGCACGCGCGGGGCCGCTCCTGGGGGTCCCTGGACGAAACATACCCCCCAGACCTCCCGGCAAAGTCCCTGCAGACTCGGATCCGGGATGGCTTTGCTCCCGCGTGCGGCCTTCCATGCATCCCAGAGCGCTCCACGAGCGTTCCAGATGGCTCCACAAGCCTCCAAGACGGCCTACGATGCCCCCAAGACGGCCTCAGAGAGATGCAGGAGGACCCGAAGACAGTTCAAGAGCGCTCCAAGAGGGCTGAATATGGCCTCGAGACGGCCCAAGGGGTCCCCAAGAGGCCTCTCATGGTAGCCTCGACAAGCAACAATCTTTCCATTCCCTTCATGAAACGAACATGTTTAGCATTTCTCCCTTTCACGTCCGAGACGGTTAGCGAGGCATCAAACATCACCCTAAGACAGCCCAGGAGGCTCCCAAGAAAGCCCCGAGATACTCCAAGAGGCCCCTGAGATGCCCCAAGAAGCGCCAACAGGCCTTCAAGGAGGCCCCCCAAGGAGGCCCCTCGAAACCATCAAGATGCCCACAAGAGGCCCCGAAGAAGCCCCTAAGAGGCCCCTTAGCGGCCCCCGAGAGGCAACCAGAGGTTCCCAAGAGGCCCCGAAGAGGCCCCAAGAGGCTCCCAAGCGGTTCCAAGAGGCCCGACGAAGCCCCCGAGAGGCACCCTAGAGGCCCAGGAGGCTCAAAAAACAACTCGCAGACGCCCCCGAGAGATCTTTCAAGAGACCCCAAAGAGGCCTCCCAAAGAAGCATGTACACTAAGCCGTCGAGAGGTTCCCTCCTCCTCCTCTTCCTCCTCCTCTTCCTCCTATCGAGCCCCCCATCCTCCTTCTCGCCCGCCATGGGCACACCAACAACAATGGTGCAAGATGGGCCGGTGGAGTGAGCGAAGCGATGGAACAACTGGACCTATCACGTCATAACACATCATACCAAATCATGATATGGCATAGCGGCGCATACATAACATCACACTGCGTACTATACTAGTTCAGGTCATACCGTAGCAACACACATCACGCAACACCATACCATACCAATGCACCACATAACATGTCATCTCACGACGTCACATACGATACCAAACCATGCCATGACAACGAGCACCATGACATAACATACGATAGCATATACTGGCATATACAGACGCAACATACAATGTGATACAACAGCTCATCACGACACCACATAACATAAAGCCACGCACATACAATCGAGCCAAACATGACATGACATATACTTACATGGCAGTTTGGAACACGACATTGTATAGCGTAACACAGATTCTACCAGACACAAGCCGAACATATTGCGCCACTGCTACCACACCAGCCACGGATGCAATCGAGCATCATAGACTGTTGCATCGTGCAGAGCAATCACATGACATACCGAATCATCGACTCATACATTTGGCATTAAACAAACAACCGAACAACGTAACCCCTATACCATACCATACCATACTTGGGAAAATACTACTACTACTACTACTACTACTACGGCAACGAAAGCAACATAACACCATGGGCTATGGTATACTTGCAAAGGTCTGCAACAACCTGACCATATCATAACATAACAGAAATCGCACACGATAGCGCGAATTGCATGCCATATCACCTTACCATCGCATAACCTACGAGCACCGCATAGCAGAACAATTCATCTTATGACCTAGCGGGGCATAACATATCATATTGTTCATATGATCCGGGATATTATAACCGAGCTGGGATCTTATCATCTTGATATAATGAAGCGCGACGTGGGCGCCGAGGTCAGGCTAGACATAGGAACGAACAGGCGCAACAACGACCAAATGGACGGCGCACCTAACGTGACAGACGTCACGACGTCACGCCGGCCCGTCAAGAACATAACATCGTTGAGCACCGTTGAATACAGCAACGGCCGATCAACTGCACCCTGTAAAACGCAGCATCCAGGCCGACGTAAGCAAAGGGGCCCTGGGACACGCAAATAAATAGACACAAATCCCAGGATTCCCGATATGCTCCCATATTTTCTGGTTTTTCGTCTTCCCCCCCACGTCCCACATTTTCCCATATTTTCCTGGGAGTCGACGATTAATTGTGTCTGTGCTTTTTCCCCTCCTGAGTAAGGCTGGCCACAAGACAAAACAGGCCCAACAACATCAGTTTGGACGACGTATCAAACGCGACAGGCGTCATGACGTCACGCCGCCCCGTGGAGAGCAGAACAGCACAAACCATCTGCGCACAGAACAGAACCAGCCAGAACGTCACAGAGTAGAATACAGCAGAGACCGAGTACTTGTCTATCATACGCAGTATGCGCGCTGAGCCCATGCTGGCCACAGAAACAAGAACTAGAGGCATCGACCATTGACGAACTATCAAACGAGACAGGCGTCACGGCTTCACGTCAGCCCGTCCAGAACAACAAACTCGCCGGCCCAACGGGCTCAGGGCGTGCTAAGATCTCCGGTAACTGGTTAACAGTATTTCTAGCTCGCGCGCGCGGGGCCGCCCATGGGGGTCCCTGGACGAAAAAGCCCCGCAAGTCGCGGCAAGGTCCTGGCAAGATCGCGGGCAGGTCCAGGCCCCAGCAGGCTCCCAAGAGCGTTCCAGGAGCGCTTCAAATGGCCTCCAAGAGGGCTCAACATGGTCCGAGACGGTCCAAGAGCGATCCAATACGTCAAAGATTGCCTCCAGACAGCCCAAGAGGCCTCCAAGACATCTCCCAAGAGGGCCCACAGGGGCTGAAATTAGCGGTTTCCTTTGGTGTCTGACGTTTTTCGGCGTTCTCGCCTTTTCGGCTTCCAGGCGCTCCAAGACTGCCCAAGAGGCTTCCAAGACCGCGCCAAGACAGCCCACGAAGCCTCCAAGAGGTCCCCAAGACGACCCAAGATGGCCCCAAGACAGCCCAAGAGGCGCCCAAGACGGCCCAATAGGGGTCCCAAACGGCCCCAAGAGGGGCCCAAGAAGGGGACCAGGAACCGAAAAGTCCAGCCTTCAGCCCCAAGAGGCCCCAGAAGGCCACAAGAGGCCTCAAGAAGCCCCAAGGGGCCCCCAAGAGGCACCCCAAGAAGCCCCAAGAGGCCCCCAAGAAACCCAAAAAGGCCCCACGAGGCCCCAACACGGCCCCCAAGAGGCTTCAAAACTGCCTCCCAAAATCCCCTGGGAGGCCAACCACGAGAGCCCAACCAACATCCGTGAGGCCTCTGACCGCCACCCACCTCCTCCGAAAAATGGCAGCCGCCCAACCGCACCGCACTGACAACAACACCCCGGCAAACGACAGCGGCGAAGCAATATGGGTCGGCGGAATGAGCGAAGCGATTACATAACAAATAAAAGCGTCAGACAACTACACTCGCCGTCGCCGCCGCCGCCGCCGCCGTCGCCGTCGCCGTCGCCGCCGCCGCCGCCGCCGCCGCCGCCGCCGCCGCCGTCGTCGTCGTCGTCGTCGTCGTCGTCGTCGTCGTCGTCGTCGTCGTCGTCGTCGTCGTCGTCGGCATCGTCATCGTCGTCTCGGGGTCCCAACACCGTGACGGACCTCCTCGTGACTCCTCCCCTCGGAATGCTGGCGCGGGGCTGGCCGAGGGGGTCATTACGGTTCGGGCATTGGACAAGGAACAAGTGGATGAGGATTCCAGAGCCTGGAAGCCAGTGGAATTCCAATCGTGGATTGGCCATGGATGTAATCGCCGCCCTCATCAGATAAGACACCCTCCAGGGTCGGAAGACTCCTGGGCACGTTCCTTCCTTGACCAATGCCCCCACCGTAAGGAAAGGGGGTTATCATTAGTGAAAGGAGGTGGCACGAACTCTGGTGCGTGCAGCTTGATTCGGCCTCGCCGCCGGGCGCCTTCTTCGATACTTTGGCGCCTCCAGCGCCAGGAGGCGCCATGAGAACCAGCTCCATTCGGGGCCCCAAAACCGTGTGGTGACGGACCGCGCAGTGACCTCGAAATCCCAAGAGACCTCACCGCACAGTCCTGGGACCTCAGAGGCCCTGGTCGCCCGAGACGTCCTCGGAGAACGACCCGAGTCACCAAAATCGTGCGGCGACCCCGAATCCCCACTGACTCACCACGCGGTGAGGTCACCACATCGTCTGGGGGCCCCCAGTCTTCGTCCGTCGTCGTCGATCGGAGTGGGAGGGTGGATCGACCCGCGCCGGAGGATGGGGGGACCTTCCCCCTCAGCCCAGAGACCACAGCGATGGCTGAGACTCGGCCACCTTCTCCCTACCCTGGCCCCCGAGGGCTGATCTTCGAGGACGGAATGCCTTTCTTCAGCCTGGAGAGTCAAGAAGCATCCAAGGGCCTCTGGGGACCCTCACACCTCACAACACATTCAATTTGTG